AACGGCTCCGGGGACGCCCCAGAGGCGCTCACGCGGCACCAGAGGCGCCCAGAACGGCCCCGGACACCCCCAAAATGACCCAAGAGCGCCCCAAGAGAGCTCCAGACCGCCGAAAACGGCCCCGACAAAGCCCAGGAGGCCTCCACGACGGCCCCAGAGACGCTCAAGAGGCGCCCCAGGATGGCCCCCACAGGCCCGAACGATTGTTTTCCCAACGGAAAACGTCCAATTTCAGCACACGCACACACACACACACACACACACACACACACACACACACACACACACACACACACGCACGCGCGCGCACGCACGCACGCACGCACACACACACACACACACAAACACACACACACACACACACACATACACACACACACACACACACACTGCCTGTTGGACGATATGTCCCCGCGACCGCCCCAAGACGGCCGAAAAGGCCCCAAAACGAAAACCGGCCCGCGAGAGCGTCAAGAGACCCACGAGGCGCCCAACGCGGCCCCCAGGCGGCCTCAAGAGGCTACCAAGAGGCGCCCAGGACGGCCCCACACACCCCCAAGGCGGCCCAAAAGCGCCCCAAGAGAGCCCAATACCGCCGAAAACACACCCAAGACGGCCCAGGAGGCCCCCACCACGGCCCCAGAGACGCCCAAGAGGCGTCCAAGGATGGCCCCCAGAGGCGAAAAACATTGTTTCCCCCCCCAAAAACGCTCACGTCCAGCATGCGCTGTTTGACTGGAATAGGGCGCAGAAGTTGGTTCCAGGTCCCCACGACCGCCCCAAAAACGTCCCAAGAGGCCCCCAAGACGCACGAAAACCGGCCCGAGAGGGCGTCAAAAAAACCCCTGAGGCGCCCACGACGGCCCCAGGGTGACACCAAGAGGCCCCCACGACGGCCCAAGGTATTTCATTTTTTCGGCACCACTCACGGGGATCGTGGCCCCCGAGCGTCACAGATCGAGCCCTCCGCGCAAAGATGCGCCGAAGTGGCCATAAGAGGCTGCCTTCTCGCCTTCTCGGCTAGCCGACGCTCCAAGACGGCCGCAGAGACCCACAAGACCGCCTCAGGACGGCCCAACAGTCCTCCAAGCGCGCCCCCAGACGGCCCAATGAGCCCCAAGATGGCCCAAGAGGCCCAAGCCAGGCGGCCCAAAAGGGGGCCAAAAAACAGAACAAAAAAACCTGGCATTCCGAACCCTGGGCCCCCATATGCCCGCACAGGGCCCCAAGAGCGCCCGAAGACGCCCCGAGGAGGGCCCCCAAACGGCCCGAGTGCCCCAGGATGGCTCCAGAGGCGCCCGAGACGGCTTCACAGACACCCGAGACAACCCGAAGAGCGCCCCAAAAACGGCTCAAGATCGCCCCAAAACGGCCCCAAGATGGCCCCAGAGGCGCCCAAGACGGCCCGACAGGACCTTCAGACGGCCCAGGAGACACTCCAGATGGCCCAGGAGGGCCCCGAGAGACCCCCAGGAGGACGAAAAACGGCCCCCAAACGGCCCCCAAGAGGCCTTGAATGCTTCCTGTTGAGGAGCGTCGACTTTCCAGCGTCGTCTTCGGTACTTTTTGGACCCTGTGGGAGCCATCTCTGGGCTTTTTGGGGACGTTCGGGGGCGGTGCGTTCGAACGGTCGCTTCGTTTCCTCGCATCGATGCCCGTTTTAGGGAGTTCGTGGGGCCCTCTTGGGCCGTGGGCCGTCTCGGCGCCTTTTTGCGGGCCTCTTGGGCCGCGCCCACCAGTCCCACTCTCACCGCACTACCAGATAAAATTATCATTCGGCCCTGGCGAAGAGCAGATACAATTATCACGGCGACCCGCCCCGCAAAAACTATTTCGAACACAGAGCGCGGCGTGAGAAACAGCTACATCATGTCGTGCATGGGTGTGCGTCCATTGATACCGCCTCCACCATCGCGCTCCTGCCTTCAGGCCTGCCAGCCTGCATCCCTCGCCAACCTCGCCTTCCAGCGGCCACATCCTCCATCCATGCCGTCCCTCCAACCTCCCCCCCCCGCGAGGCCCCCGAAACGCTCCACTTCCACGTGGCTGGCATATTCCGCGGCCGGAAGGCCGCGGGTCAGCCCTACTCTATACTATATGGCCGGAGGAACCGCGTGCCGGAAGGAAGAAGCATCAAATGGCCGGAAGCGGCTCCGAGACGCTCCGGAGGCCGCCCCGACGGCCCAAAGACGGTTCCGGGCCGCTCAAAGACGGTTCCGTCCCGCTCAAGATGCCCCGAAGGCGACCCAAGAGGGTTCCGAGACGCGCAATGGTCCGGCCAAGACGCCCGAGGTTGGCCCAAAACGGCCCAAGAGCTCCCCAAGACGGCCCAACAGGCCTCCCAAAAGGCTTCCCAACAGAGCCCCGAGATGCCAAAATCGTTGATTTTCCGTGTTTTTTTCCGAGGTTGTTTGCTTCCTCGCTTTTTCGGCTTCCCGACGCTCCGAATCCCCCCCAGAGGCATCCAAGACCGCTCCAAGACGGTCCACGAGGTCCCCAAGAGGACCCCAAGACGGTCCAAGAGAGCCCCAAGACGGTCCAAGGCGGCCCGAGGACGGCCCCAGAGGCGCCCAAGACAGGCCAACGGGACCCCAAGATGGCCCGAAGAGCGGCCCAAGATGGCTCCAAGACGGCCCGAGGACCGCCCAGGAAGGCCCTCGGGGGCCCCAAGACAGCCCAAGGGGCGCGATAGACGAGCCCAAAGAGGCCCAAGAGGCCCCCAGGAGCCCAAAAGAGGTCCCCAAGAGGTGCCACGGGGGCGGACGAGGGGACCGTCTCAGGAGGTTTTGAACGGTTCTGGGCCTCAAAATCATCCGCTTTACGACGGTTTTGGACGGATTTTGGCCTTCTCGCTTTTCCCGCTTTCCGACGCTCGAAGACGGCCGAAGAGGCCTCCAAGAGCGCCCCAGAACGGCCCAAGAGGTTTCCAAAAGCGCCCCAAGACAGCCCAAGAGGACCCCAAGACGACCCAAGAAACGCTCAAGACGGCCCACGAGGGCCCGAAGACAGGCCCAAGAGGGGGCCAAGAAGGGGACCACGGACCGAACATCCGAGCATTCCGCCCCAAGAGGGCGCCAGGAGACCCAAACAGGCCCCCAAGAGGCCCCAAGGGGCCGCCAAGAATCCCCCAAAGAGGCCCCAGGAGGCTCCCAAGGAACCCAGACGAGGCCCCAACAGACTTTCCAACAGCTTCCAAAATGGTTCCAAAGAGGCCTCGAGCCCGCCTCCGAGCTTCCTCGCCGCGAGGGTGCCAACACGGCCCCAGACGGGCCCAGGACGGCCCGAGGCGCGCTCAAGACGGCCCAAGACGATTCCAAGACGGTCCCAAGAGGGTGCGCCCAGGACGGCCCAAGGACGCGCCCGGTCGGGGCCTCAAGACGGGCCAAGATTGCAAGAGAGCCCCAGCTGGCAAAAATCGTTAATTTTCCATTGCTTACTGTTACACCCTTTGCGTTTCCCGCCGTTTCGGCGGTCCGATGCACCAAGAGGCCCCAGAAAGTCCCAGGAGGGTCTGAGGAAACGCCCAGGAAGGCCCCAAAAGGGGCCAAGACGGACCCAGCACAACCCAAGGCGCGCTGCGACGGCTCAGGACGGCTCCAAGACAGCCCCAAGAGGGTGCCAACACGGCCCCTGCTGGGCCCAGGACGGCCCAAGGAGGCGCACAGGAGAGGCCCAAGACGACTCCAAGGCGGCCGCCTCACGGTCCCAGACGGCTCCAAGACAGCCCCACGAGGACCCCGATGGGCCCAGGACGACCTACGGACGGCCCATGAGGGGCCCACGACGAACCAACACGGCCCCATCACGGCACACGGTGCCCTCAAGACGGGCCTGGACGGCTCCAAGACGGCCCTTTGAGGGAGCCAACGCGGCCCCACACCCTTCGGGCGCACACTTGGGGGGGCTGGGAGCTTGCGACAAGTCTCCCACATTCACTGTCCTGCCCCATTCTGTTCGCCTGGGGGCCTCCTCCAACCCTGTGGGCGAACAAGGGGAAACCCAGCGGGCCGCCAACCCTGGGGCCCGTGGGCCCCGCGCCGCTTGGGCAGAAGACGAGCGCCAGGTCTGACAGGCCAGCTACCGCCCCCCCTTTGCCCGATATGCTCTGCCATTCTGTTCCCCCAGGGGCCTTGGCGAAGTTTTCGGGCCAAGCAGACCGGACCCCTGGGACAGCAGCCGATTGATATGACCCTGGGACCTCTCCGCATTCTTCGGACGAGCACCTGGGGGGCCCAGGAGATTCGGACAAGTCTTCCCCATTCCTTGCCCTGTCCCATTATGTTCGCCCGAAGGCCTCCACAGACCCTCTGGGCGAACAGAATGGGACATGGCGAACAAACCCTCCCGTTGGCCTCGATGCGACTGGATCGCACCATCAAGGCGCGCCCGGAGGTGATGGCGGACCCAACAGCGGTTTCTCTGAATATGTTCCCTGTAGATCCTTGCGAGCCTCCCCGGCGCTTTCGGTGGCTTTCCCCGATGGCCGCCCGAGCCCTTCCCCGAGCGTTCCTGAGACGCCTCAGATGTGCTTCGACTTCGACGCACATCCCCGAGAGACTTCGAAACTGTCCTCAATAGGAGGGGGGTAAACGAGCAGCGCGCTGGGCCAAACTGCTGGAGCGCTGCAAGAGCTCGGACACGAAGGCGCGGTCTCGCTGCCGCCGCCCGAGCCGCCGCCGTGTTTGTAGCTTTTCGGTACACTCTGCGCCGTTCCTCCGAGAACCATTCCAGAAAGATGTCGTGGACGGAGTCCACGGGTCAGCCCTAGTCAGCTACAGCGCTGGGATCAGCGCGTGCGAGAAGGGCAAGCAGTGGCAGCCTGCACTGGCGCTGCTGAGCGAGATGCAGGATGCGAAGCTGGAGCCCAGCGTCATCAGCTACAACGCTGGGATCAGTGCTTGCGAGAAGGGCGCTCAGTGGCAGCGGGCACTTGCGCTGCTGAGCGAGATGCGGAAGGCCAAACTGGAGCCCAACGTCATCAGCTACAACGCTGGGATCAGCGCGTGCGAGATGGGCGAGCAGTGGCAGCGGGCGCTGGCGCTGTTGAGCGAGATGCGGAAGGCCAATCTGGAGCCTAACGTCATCAGCTACAATTCTGGGATCAGCGCGTGCGAGATGGGCGAGCAGTGGCAGCGGGCGCTGGCGCTGCTGAGCGAGATGCGGGAGGCGAACTTGGAGCCCGACATCATCAGCTACATCGCTGGGGTCAGCGCGTGCGGGAAAGGCGGGCAGTGGCAGCCTGCACTTGCGTTGCTGAGCAAGACTTGGGAAGTACAGCTCGAGCCCAACGTCAACAGCTACAACGCTGGGATCAGTGCGTGCAAGAAGGGCGAGCAGTGGCAGCGGGCGCTGGCTCTGCTGAGCGAGATGCGGGAGGCGAAGTTGGAGCCCGACGTCATCAGCTATAACGCTGGGATCAGCGCGTGCGAGAAGGGCGGGCAGCGGCAGCTTGCGCTGGCGCTGCTGAGAGAGATCTGGGAAGTACAGTGCGAGCCCAACGTCATCAGCTACAGCGCTGGGATCATCGCTTGCGAGAAGGGCGGGCAGTGGCAGCTGGCGCTGGCGCTGTTGAGCGAGATGCGGGAGGCGAAGGTGGAGCCCGACGTCATCTAACCTACAATACCGGGCATTGCGCGTGCGAGAATGGCCATTTGGGGACACCCTCGCCTGGCCCTGGGGGGGCGGCACCTCGGCGGCTCCGCTCGTGGGGACGGTCCACGAGGGCCCCCGGAGAGCCCACGGTGGCTTCTTGGGAGCCCCAAGAGAGCGCAAGACGGCCCAAGAGGCCTCCACGACGCCCCAAGAGACGCCCAAATGGCGTCCCAGGAGGGCCCCAACAGGCCAAACTCAATGATTTTCCGAGGGAAAACGCACATTTTGAGCACATGCGGCTTCTCGGCTTTCATGGCGCTGAAGACGGTCCAAGAGGCCCCCAAGACCGCCCCAAGACGGCCCAAGAGGCTCCCAAGAGGCCCCCCGAACGGCCCAAGACGGCGCCAAGACGGCCCAAGACGCGCCCAAGACGGCCCAAGAGGGCCCCATGACGGCCCCAAGAGGGGGACCTCGAACCCAAGATCCCGGCCTTCCGCCTCAAGAGGCCCCCAAGAGGCCCCGAGAGGCCCCCGAAAGGCCCAAAAAAGACCCCAATATGCCCCCAAACGGCCCGAAAACGCTTCGACACTGCTTCCGAGAGGCCCGCGAGAAGCCTCCCCAGAAGGCCAAATTTGGAACAATCCCCCCATTTGGCTCAGCACGGCACCTAAAGTTCCCGAAATCGGCCCACCGTTGCCCGGGTGGACTCCCAGGAAGCCCTGAAATTTCATATTTCACGGAAGCCCCGTCGGATTGGAAAAACACACATCCCACACCTCTTGGGACATTTCTCGCATCGTAACTCACGCCTCCTGGGACACGCGGCGTGCGAGAGAGGCTTCAGAAAACGGCGTCCCTGGGTGCTGCGGGGTGGGCCGGACGAATTTTTGGCAAACCCTCCCGAGGAAGAGGTGTCCCATGAGGTGCGGGGTATTGTTTTTCATTCACAGGTGGGCATCCTCCTCTCTTGGAACCTTCTTGGGGCTCCTTTGGAGCTTTCTTGGGGCCCTTTTGGGGCCATCTTGGGCTTGAAGGGGATGGCCGAAAAACCTTTCAGACCGAGCCGCCAACGCCCCGGAACGTTTTTTCTTGGACTACTCCCGCACGGCGCGTGTTCCAGCAGGCGCGGGGTATGGTTTTTCCATACAGGTTACACTCCCTTCTTCGACCTCCTTCTCCTCGCTGCCCACGGTTCCCTCTGCACAGTGGCTGCCGTCGTTTGCCAGTCACGTCGCTCCACCCACCTCTCGGGTTCCTGCCGATGCTGCCATACCCGATGCTGCTGCAAACGATGCTCTCGGCGCCGACAGGATCATCGAGCACCCAGCTCGCCCTGAGGCACTACGCAGCAGCATGCGCCCTCCCAATACATTAGCAATCGTGGACGGTAGTCCACAGGTCAGCCCTAGTCTCTACTACATTGCAGGGCCCAGTGCGTGCCAGAAGGGCGCAGGCTCCAATGTCTCAAAACCGCCCCGGGCTGGCCCCGGGCCGCCCCGGGCCGCCCAGGCAGGCTCCAGGACATGTCGGGAGGGCCCCCAGAAGCCCCCAAGACGGCCCCGGAGAGCCCCGGCACGCTTGAAGATGGGCCCAAGACGCCCGAGATTCGCCCCAGGCGGCCCAAGAGGCGTCCAAGACGCCCGAAGAGGCCTCCCAAGAGGCCTCCCAAGAGGGCCCCGAGCGACAGAAATCGTAGATTTCTATTGTGTTTTTCGATGGTTTCGGCCTCCTCGCCTCTTCGGCTTCCCGACGCTCCAAGACGGCCCAAGAAGTCCCCCCGACCGCTCCAAGACGGCCGAAGAGGACCCCAAGAGAGCCCCAAGACGGGCCAGGAGGGCCCCCAGACGGTCCCAAGACGCCCCAGGACGGCCCCAGGACGGCCCAGGAGGCGCCCAAGACGGCCCAAGAGGCACCCAAGACGGCCCCAGGAGCGGCCCAAGACGGCCCAAGACAGCCCAAGAGGCGCCGAGGCGGGTCTCAGACGGCCCCAAGACGGCCCAAGAGGCACCCAAGACGGCCCGAGAGGGCCCTAAGAGCCCCCCCGGGAGGCCCAAAAGAAGGCCGAAGAGGCTCCGAAACGGCCCCCACGAAGCCTTCAGTGCCTTCAGAATTCCCTCCAGGAGCGGGGGAGCGGACGAGAGGCGACAGGCATATCGCAGGCAAAAACGCCCCAAGAGATCCCCAAACGGCCCCCACGAAGCCCTAAGTGGCCTCAGAATTGCTTCCAGGAGGGGGGGAGCGGACGAGAGGCGACCGGCATATCGAAGGCACAAAAGAACAATGTTGGACGCTCCGAGGGCCTTCGATGTTTCTCCGTTGGGGAGAGTCGTCGTAGGATCGACGATTGCCGACCGAGGGCAGCGAATCCAGTGGAGGCCCAAGAGGCCCCCAGGAGCCCAAAAGAGATCCCCAAGAGGTGCCACGGGGCTTAAAAACTGCTTCGAAGCGAGGGGGGCGGACGAGGGGACCGCCTCAGGAGGTTTTGGACGGTTTTGGGCCTCAAAATCGTCCGCTTTACGACGGTTTTGGAAGGATTTTGGCCTTCTCGCCTTTTCCGCTTTCCGACGCTCGAAGACGGCCCAAGAGGCCTCCAAGAGCGCCCCAGAACGGCCCAAGAGGTTTCCAAGAGCGCCCCAAGACAGCCCAAGAGGGCCCCAAGACGACCCAAGAGACGCTCAAGACGGCCCACGAGGGCCCGAAGACAGGCCCAAGAGGGGGCCAAGAGGGGGACCACGGACCGAAAATCCGAGCCTTCCGCCCCAAGAGGGCGCCAGGAGGCCCAAACAGGCCCCCAAGAGGCCCCAAGGGGCCGCCAAGAATCCCCCGAAGAGGCCCCAGGAGGCTCCCAAGGAACCCAAACGAGGCCCCTACAGAGGCCCCAACAGCTTCAAAAATGGCCCCGAAGAGGCCTCGAGCCCGCCTCCGAGCTTCCTCGCCGCGAGGGTGCCAACACGGCCCCAGACCGGCCCAGGACGGCCCAAGGCGCGCTCAAGACGGCCCAAGACGATTCCAAGACGGTCCCAGGAGGGTGCGCCCAGGACGGCCCAAGGACGCGCCCGTTCGGGGCCTCAAGACGGGCCAAGATGGCAAGAGAGTCCCAGCTGGCAAAAATCGTTAATTTTCCATTGTTTACTGTTACACCCTTTGCGTTTCCCGCCGTTTCGGCGGTCCGATGCACCAAGAGGCCCCAGAAAGTCCCAGGAGGGTCCGAGGAACCGCCCAGGAAGGCCCCAAGACGGGCCAAGACGGACCCAGCACAACCCAAGGCGCGCTGCGACGGCTCAAGACGGCTCCAAGACAGCCCCAAGAGGGTGCCAACACGGCCCCTGCTGGGCCCAGGACGGCCCAAGGAGGCGCACAGGAGGGGCCCAAGACGACTCCAAGGCGGCCTCCTCACGGTCCCAGACGGCTCCAAGACAGCCCCACGAGGACCCCGATGGGCCCAGGACGGCCTACGGACGCGCCCATGAGGGGCCCACGACGAACCAAGACGGCCCCATCAGGGCAAACGGCGCCCTCAAGACGGGCCTAGACGGCTCCAAGACGGCCCTTTGAGGGAGCCAACGCGGCCCCACACCCTTCGGGCGCACACTTGGGGGGGCTGGGAGCTTGCGACAAGTCTCCCACATTCATTGTCCTGCCCCATTCTGTTCGCCTGGAGGCCTCCTCCAACCCTGTGGGCGAACAAGAGGAATCCCAGCGGGACGCCAACCCTGGGGCCCGTGGGCCCCGCGCCGCTTGGGCAGAAGACGAACGCCGGGTCTGACAGGCCAGCTACCGCCCCCCTTTGCCCGATATGCTGTGCCATTCTGTTCCCCCAGGGGCCTTGGCAAACTCTTCGGGCCAAGCAGACCGGACCCCTGGGACAGCAGCCAATTGATATGACCCTGGGACCTCTCCGCATTCTTCGGACGAGCATCTGGGGGGCCCAGGAGATTCGGACATGTCTTCCCCATTCCTTGCCCTGTCCCGTTCTGTTCGCCCGAAGGCCTCCACAGACCCTCTGGGCGAACAGAATGGGACATGGCGAACAAACCCTCCCGTTGGCGGTGATGCGACTGGATCGCACCATCAAGGCGCGCCCGGAGGTGATGGCCGACCCAACAGCGGTTTCTCTTAAGAGTTCACTGGATTTCAAATTTTCTTGAAGCTCTCTTGGGCCCTCCCTGTAGATCCTTGCGAGCCTCCCCGGCGCTTTCGGTGGCTTTCCCCGATGGCCTCCCGAGCCCTTCCCCGAGCGCTCCTGAGACGCCTCAGATGGGCTTCGACTTCGACGCACATCCCCGAGAGACTTCGAAACTGTCCTCAATAGGAGGGGGGTGAACGAGCAGTGCGCTGGGCCAAGCTGCTGCAGCGCTGCAAGAGCTCGGACACGAAGGCGCGGTCTCGCTGCCGCCGCCCGAGCCGCCGCCGTGTTTGTAGATTTTCGGTACAATCTGCGCCGTTCCCCCGAGAACCATTCCAGAAAGATGTCGTGGACGGAGTCCACGGGTCAGCCCTAGTCAGCTACAGCGCTGGGATCAGCGCGTGCGAGAAGGGCGAGCAGTGGCAGCAGGCTCCAGTACTGGTCAGCGAGATGCGGGAGGCGAAGCTGGAGTCCAATGTCGTCAGCTACAATGCTGGGACCAGCGCGCGCGAGAAGTGCGTGCAGTGGCAGCAGGCACCAGCGCTTCTCAGCGAGATATGCGAGACGAAGCTTGAGCCCAACGTCATCGCTCCCACAGTGCAAAAGCCCTCGCGCGCCAGAAGGTTCTGCGCACCAATCGCATTTTGTTGCCTCCAGGAGACCCTCGAGGCCGAATGGCGCTCCGGGGGCAGCTTGGACAGCCCTGCGGGCCTCGAGCCACGCCCCTTTCACGGTCCAGCAAAGCTCAAAGACGGCCATAGAGGAACCCAAGACGGCCCCAAGACGGCATCATTTAGCTGGACGACGGCTCAGGCGGCCCGCAAGACGCCCCAATATAGAAGTCCAAGAGGAACGTCAAGACGGCCCCGAAAGGCCAAGCCTCGTCTCATGCCTCCCTTCTCGCTCCTTACACATCGCCCATCGCCTTCCTCTCCTCGCCACTGGCTCCTCCCGTCTCACTCCTCCTCGTTATTTCCACCTTCCTCTTGGGCCCTCGCGGCTCCCTTCTGGCGACTGGCGTCTGCTTACTCCTCGCTGACCGTTTCTCGGTGATCGCTTCTCGCTTCCCCTCCCCGCTCGACCCTGACTCCTCGTTCCTTGCTCCTCGCCCCTCGCTCCACTCACGAGCTACATGCTGCGTCATCCATGAAGGGTACCAAGAAGCAGCACTCTGCAGCCTCGAGCAGCAACAGCGAACAATTGCAGTCCGCAGCAGGCAACGGCAACACAGCAAACTGGCAGCAGAGGCTACATGCCGCAGACAGCAGCACCTTCCAGCTGTAGGCAGCAACAGCAGAGGCGACTCCAGGGCGGAGTGGGCTCGACTCCATGGCGGTCGCGGCGCCGGAACGACACAGTGTGTGCTGCGAAGCACGCTGCCTCGCGATGCTGCGCGCAGGGAACGTGCAGGCGCCGCGCCGCATGACGTGGCCAATGACGCGGCCGTCGTCGACGCTGCCGCCGACGCCGTCGCCGTCTTCGCCGCTGCCGCCGTCAACGCCACGCGGATATCGGGCAGATGCCGTGGCTGGTAGGCCACGGGTCAGCCCTAGTCTATATTACAATACCGGGCATTTGCGCCTGCGAGCGGGGCGAGCGATGATCGCCCGCGGCGGCGCCCCGGGGGCCCCGCCCGTGGGGTGGCGCCGTCCCGGCCCGGGACAGCCCCGGGACGGCCCATGAGGGCCCCGACGGAGGCCTCGAGAGTCCCACGGGAGCTCCCCAGCGAACCCGATCGAGGGCCCCAGGACGGGCTCGGAGGGCCCCCGCGAGCTTCCACGGAGCTCCCAGGGGACCCCCACGAGGGCCCCGATGCCGCAAAACTATTGATATTCTCTAAGGGTTTTGACGTTCCGGCCAAAGACGCCCACCACGGAGCCTGTTTTTTTTGGATTCAGGCAAGTTTACTTGCATGGCGTTCGCCCCCCCCCCCCCCCCCCCCCCCCCCCCCTCGCCCCTCTTCAAGCGAATACTGGCGTGCAAGTGCCTCTCGACTTGCGCGATGTCCGCGCCCCCCCCCCCCCCGGGCTTGCGGCAGGCTCAGCCCCCCCCGTCCCTGCAAGTAAATTTGCCAGAGTCTAAAAAAACAGCGCGCGGAGTAAATTTGCCAGAGTAAATTTGCCAGAGTAAATTTGCCAGAGTAAATTTGCCAGAGTAAATTGCAAGTAAATTTGCAAGTAAATTTGCCAGAGTGTAAATTTGCCAGAGTCAAAAAAAAAAACAGTCCTGCGGGCGTCCGAAGTCGGGCCCGTGCTGCCCCGGGGGGGCCTCCGATAGCGAGTTCCCAAGACGGCCCCGGAGGCCCGATCGAGCTCCCGAGGCCCCCAAGACGGCCCAAGAGCCCCCAGGGACGCCCAAGAGGGTCCAGTTTGTTGGGGCTCCTCCTCCTCCTCCTCCTCCTCCTCCTCCTCCTCTTCCTTCTCCTCCTCCTCCTCCTCCTCCTCCTCCTCCTCTTCCTCCTCCTCCTCCTCCTCCTCCTACTCCTCCTCCTCCTACTCCTCCTCCTCCACCTCCTCCTCCTCCTCCTCCTCCTCCTCCTCCTCCTCCCCAGACGGGCCCAGGGAGAGGGGGCGCGCAAGGACAGGAGACGATTGGCCCAGGGAAACGGTGGTCGCAGGGACAGGAGACGACGGAGACGACGACGAGCGAACGATGGGAACGGACAAGCCCCTCACACTAATCGACACATTGTCGTCGGGTTTCACCGCGCGGGTTGCACCACATATAGATGGCAGCACATAGCTTGCACAATATAGAATGAACCGAATAGCTTGCACCACATGGATTGCGTAACGTGCATTGCACCGCATAGAGTGCAATATTGCACCACGTGGATTCTCTATAGACAGGGACACTCGGATCTACAATCCCCCCTGGAATTATTGCATCCCTTTTGGATCGTACACTTTACGCGTGTTTATCCCCATCGCGACATGTACACTTTTTTAATGCCATCCCAGCATGGATTTCATCGCCTCCCCTGTGTGAGCACACTTGTTTATCAGAAAACTCGCAGTTTCATTTGTCCCTTGCAACACGTAAAACACAGCGCGCAGGCGCGCGTCGTCGCGCGCGCATGTCGAATTTCTTTCACCCCCTCGTATTCGTAAGGATTTTCAGATTGAGTTGTTCGAGCACATCTAGACATCAGACGTTTCCTATATGTTCGTTCAACATCAAAAATGAATACGGCGTTCGCGCTCTGGCGAATTCTTTTGGAAGACATTGGTTTTTCAGCCTTTCTCATCACATGCGACCAAGCGGGCTCCGGCGCGCATGTCGGAATCATTCGAACGCCGTTGCTTTCTTGCTGGCGGGGCTCGGCCCCTGTCAACCAATACTATGCGGGCCACTCGCCCGCGTCGGCCGCGCGCGCATGCCGAAATCCTTCCAAGGCCTTTATCACCGACGCGGAGACACCATCATCGCCATCGGTGTGACCACCATCGGCGCCGTTATTGGCCTTGCCGTCGTCACAGTCACCATCGCCACTTCATCGTTACTAACCTCATCGCGTCTGCCGTTGCAGACGTTGCCATGAAAACGCGCCCGCCCGAGTCACCGACTCGCAGTGAAATGCCAGCGCGTCAGCGCGGCCTGCGAGACGTGCTGGGAGGTACCCAGCGGTCAGTGTCACCGCGGCCGCGTCGGTCGCGCCAAACTAGTTGGCCAGTCTGCGCGCCAGCCTGCGCGCCATAGCGCGGCCGCAGCGATGCCCCAGCCTGCGCCAAACAGTCATCGAAGTCGCCGCCGCATGGTTGTGCGGACAGCGTGAAGGTACACTTTCAAGGCCAGCAAGCTGAATCCACCACGTATATTGCACCACGTAGGTTTTTGAAACTATTAGGTTGCAGCACGTAGATTGCACAACATAGCTCGAAACGCATGTATTACACCACGTGGGCTGACATCAAATATTGCATCTCATACACAACACCACATATGCTGCACCACACAGACCCCGCACAGGTCGCATAACATAGAGAGCATTGCACCGGTTGCGCCACATAGACGGCAGCAGTTACATGGCACCACACAGGTTGCATACATGGCAAGGAACACATTGTTCGGGGTCCTCGCTGGCTAACATATCGAGCCGTTGAAGGCACCGTGAAGGTTCAGGAAGCCTCTGGTGGCAAGAGGAAACCTCACTTGCGGCAAAAGAAACGCTACGAACAGTGGCCACAGTGTCTAGGTTTCGGCGTCCCGCCATGTCCTCTTGAAGAGCCCCGCGCGGCCACGTGCCCACTGCTCCGAGGAAGGGAGGCTTCCCGTTGAGAGAGAGCGGGCGCGGTGCAGTCGTGACAATGCCGAGGGCATCACCCTTGCGGGTCCACACGGTGTCGGGCACGCCCGAACCGGAAGGCCAGCTTCTGACCCTCCAGTGCGATGCAGCCTCCTTCGCAGTCCCACTGTGCCTGGGGAGGGCGTTGTTCTGGCCCTTGGGAACACGCTCCCCTCCCATCACCCGTGGCTGAGAGGAAGAGGAGACGAAGGAGGAGGAAGACGAGGAGGGCGAGGAAGAGGATGAGGAGGAGGAGGAGGAGGAGGAGGAGGAGGATTTCCAGGATTTCCGCCATCACGTAGTGATATTACACAAGCCGCCCTCTGAGCTCGAAAGCGAAGACGCCGAACCAGAGGACGAAGGACAGGTACCAGCAGAAACGTATGAATATTGCCCAGACGCAGAAGCCGACCCATATACGACCTGATAACAGCAATACCACGAGAAAACTGCCATGCCGGCCCAAATGCAAATAAAAATTGAAGTTGTGCCGCCGAGTTGACACCACATTGACATAACCAGTGGCTAAGCGGAAGTGAGTTTGACTCTATAGGGCCCTAGCCGTGGATCACTGGGCTAACTCTCGCAATGAAGGAAGGAGCTCGCCTCACCCACAGACCACCTCGCCCCAGCCGAACAACGGAAGTGCCACCGACAGCAGAAGCCCCAGACTGCAACACTTGCAAACATCAGAACGCTTGCAATACAACCCAGAGCGGGATACAGAAGCATACAAAATTGTAAGAAGAGATGGTACGCCCAGGCCGCGGGGTGAAGGGCTTAAGTGGGCTCGCAGCCCCCGTGCCTCCAACCCAACCCACGGCATGGGACGGAACTTCGGGAAGATGAGCGGCAGATGTATGCCCAGGCCGAGGGGTGGAGGGCTTAGATGGGCTCGAAGCCCGCGTGCCTCCAACCCAACCCCCGCCCTGGGTCGGAACTTGCAGAAAACTCCCGTGAACACTGACCATACCCAGAGCAGCCCAAATGGAAGTACCCTCCAGCTCGTTCTGCCTTAACCATGGCCCTGTAAGGTTCAGTAAGGAAAACTGCATATTGCCAACTCGAAGGCCTTGCCAAAAAACAGGCCTTCTGGAGAAGGCACCACGTCGCGAAACGGCGTCATGATACCCTCCATATTGTTATGCCTTTGCCCAAGGCCCCAATAAAACCGCATGCGTAGCTGATGAACCCACTGCCTGAGACGGGACTTCACGTAGCCGAAGAGGTACGCCCAGGCCGAGGGGTGAAGGGCTTAGATGGGCTCGAAGCCCGCGTACCTCCAACCCAACCCTCGGCCTGGGACGGACGTTGAAATTGATGTTCAGGAGGAACCCAAAACACCAATCTTGCAAAACTCGTCGACCGAAAACTTTGCACTGTACTAGCCAACCGCACGAATGTAACAACTGTTGTGTCGCAGTCAAGCGGTGCCCCTCAAGCACCACGGGGAGGTTCAGTGCAGGACAGGGAGCATGCCGAGATGAGCCAAAAAATGGTTCTACTGCGCTCCGCGCCCCTGAGCTTGAGAGGAGGAGAAGGAGGAGGAGGAGGAGGAGGAGGAGGAGGAGGAAGGGGGGAGGACGAGGACGAGGAGGAGGAGGAAGAGGAGGAGGAGGAGGGGGAGGAGGAGGAGGAGGTGTCGGGGTGGGCAGGCTGTTGTGGTCGGAGGTGGTGGGCTGGTTGACGGGGCGTCGGGCCGGGTCGGGCTGGCTGGGGCCATTGGTTCGGGCTCCCCCCTCCCTCTCCCAGTGCTCCCTGTCTTCTCTCCTTATGTTCCTCCTGCCTCCTCCCTGTCCCTCCTGATGTTCCTCCTGCCCCTCCTGATGCTCCTCCTGCCCCCTGTTTTTGTTCCTCCTCCTTATGCTCCTCCTGCCTCCTACCTCTCTCCTTATGTCTTCTCTCCCTCCTCCCCCTCCGAAGCCCTCGCTCCTGCCCTGCCCTCCATTGTGCTCCTGTCTCCTCCGCCCTCCCTCTCTCCTTCCTCCTTTCTCCCCTCTCCCCAGACCTGGTGGATGCGGGAGGTGGAAGGGGGGGATGGCCAGAGGAGAAGGGGGGAGGGGTGGCCGTGTGAGGGGGAGGGGAGGGGTCGGGGGAAGAAAGAGGCGGCCGAGAAGGAGGCAGAGGAGGGGAAGCTGGGGAGGGGAAGGAGGGAGGGGGGGGGAGGAGGAGGACGAGGAGGCAGATGAGGTGGGAGGGGATGATAGAGTAAGGGGAGCGGAAAGGGGAGGGGCAGCAGGAGGAGGAGTCGAGAGGGGGCGGGGCATACGAAACCGAGGGGGACGAGGGCCTTCTTCATGCCTCCTTCCTGCCCGTGTTCTTCCAACGACTCGTTGCTTTTTCGTGACGCGGGCCCCTGGACCTCTCTCGACCTCAGCGCCTCGGGGCCAGCTCTCAATCCCAGCAGTGCTTGACTGCCCCAGGGGTCGAAGCGGGACTCGGGCCCCAAGCTAAGATGATTAGGGGGCCACATGCGAACCTTACAGTCAACCCGCAGAGTAAGGATAGGCATCCCTCCCAAGGGTACCCTTGCATCCTTGCTTCCTGGGTCCATCCTTGGACGCTTTTGTCGGCCGCGCCCCGCTCGGGAAGCTTCGGAATGGGCGTCCAAGGCCCTTGCATCCTTATTGCGCATCCTTACTCTGCGGGTTGACTGTACTCCTACCCCCCACGATTTCCGGGGGGGAGGGTGGGGCTCCCTTCGCCAGCCTCCTCCCCCAGAAATCGTGGGGGGTATGGGGCAGGGCGTGGCCTCCTGAGCATACCGCCGGCACAGTGTTCGAGGGGAGGAACACTTAGACCATTCAAGCAGTGACGAAGCGTCCTGGCTCGCCTATAGCCCCACCAGACAATGTTCTAAGAACCTGTTTGTGGTTTCCACGGAATGTTCTTAGAACATTTCTGGTTGGGATTGTCTTGGTTTAGCACATCGGGTTTGAGTTCTAAGAAGATTGTTTTTGTTATTAGAACGTTGTTGGGTTCTAAGAGCATGTCGTGGTAGGACTATAGGAATACCTGGACGGTCAGTCCCTGCTCAAACCATGACCATGAGTCCTCGGGATCTTGTCGACGCCGATCTTGGAAGACAGCTGTCAGATGACCCCCAACCGTGCAGACACACCACTGCTCGGACTTCAAAGCCGCGAATCAGCCATGCTATTGCGCCCGGGCGATCCTGAATCGCGACATGACGCCACCATTGGGACTTCGGCACCGCGAGTAAACATGACTGTTGCGTCCTGGCGGTCCCGAATCGCGCCAGAACGCCATTGTTGGGACCTCAGCACCGCGAATAAAGTGGGTTCTGCGCCTCGGCAGCCCTGAGTCGTGCCAGAACGCCATTCTTAGGACGGCCAGACCTAATAATTTCTTGATCGGGCTCGAATATTTACAGCGACTTTGCGTGGCGTTCAGACGAAAGCCACAGCTTGAAACAAAAACACCGTCCGTGAAAGATTTGCGAACTGATGAGACGAAGTTGCGCTGAAAGCAAGCGAGGGACACATGTTGAAAACCACCTGGCTTCCATCCGCGAAGCTGCTGCAAACTTTGGAAGCTAGTGCTCGTGGCGCTGAGGCGAGAGCGCGCTTGAAACAGGAACCACCGTCCATCCGTGAAGAGCTGGCAACCTTTTGAGACGACTGCGCGCGCCGCTCAGGCGAAGCCCACATTCTGAAACCCGCCTGCCCTCTTTGAGAGAGAGACTCTTCTCTCGCAGCCTGTCGACGCGAATCTGCGGGGCGCTCAGGCGAGAGCCACATTTCGAACACGACCCCCCCCCGCCTCCATCGCCTCCTCCTCCTCCTCCTCCTCAGCCTCCTCCTCCCCCTGTGAAGCTTCTGCTGGGCCTTCAGGCGGACGTGCTTGGCTTCACGGCGGGAGCCGCACTCGGCTGAAGCGGAGCCCGCCCTCCGCCCGTGGAGCTCGCGGGACCTCGAAGACGACTGCGCGCAGCACGCAGGCGGCACGTATGTGCTGCAGCCGACCCGCCCTCCGTCCGCGAAGCCCTCTCGTCACTCGCCGGCGGACGCGGGTGAAGGGAATGAATGGCCGCGCGTGCCGAAAACGATGTACACCCCAGGCGATGCTTAAGAAAACTTCCGTTTTCGGCCAGAGTCTCGATTATTCTTAATGTTTCCATGTAAATCCTAAGATTTCGATGGAAATTCTGGGCTTCTACTCAAGTTCAGAGACTATGAATTTCTTAACCCATGATTTCTTGAGCATTTCGCAGGGTGTATTGAGAAAGCGATGCTTCATTCAAGCGAGAAGCGGATTCAGTAACTTGCGCCGCCGAATCAAAACAAGTCAACACATTATTTGGTGAGCGCAGAAGCCACTTCATCAAGTTCAGAGACGGGTTTTCTAAATCCAGGGCCGTGTTTCTCAATCCCAGATCCTATCTCTCAAGCTTTGGCGAAGCGTCCTGGCTCGCCTATAGCCCTAACAAACAATGCTCTAAGAACCTTTTTGTGGCTCCCATGCAATGTTCTTGGAACATTTCTGGCTGGGACCGTCTTGTTTTAAACCATCGGGTTTATGTTCTAAGAACATTGTGTTTGTTATTGGAACATGTTTGGGTTCTGGGAGCATTTCGTGGTAGGAATAGGAATGCCGGGACGGTCGGTCCCTGCTCAAATCTCCACCATGACCTGAGTGGCTCGATCACTCACGCTCTCAGCAGAGACGGATGTGTGCGGCAGGGGCGAAGCGGCGCGGCGCGGGGGCCACGCGTCGAAGCCGACCCGCCCTCCATCCGCGGAGCCCCCGTCGCAGGCCTTTTCGGGCTGCGTGCGCGCGGCGCCGCGGCGAGAGCCACGCGCTGGAGAGCACCCGCCCTCCGCACACGGAGCTCCTGCACAACCGTTGTGGCGAGCGCGCGCAGCGCCCAGGCGAGGGCCACAGGTTCGGCACCGCCCGCACTCCACGCGTGAGGCCGTCGCACGTTCTACGGTTCAGGATGGTGCCTCGTGGTGAAGCCACAGGCGACAGACCCGTCCCGCCCCACCGACACGCCTCGGGCTGCGACAGCGTGGAAGGTATCTAGAGAGGGGAGGGATTGAATTTGAGGATGATGAGGATGAGGGTGAGGATGAGGATGAGGGTGATGAGGATGAGGATGAGGATTCTGATGATGATGCTGATGCTGATGCTGATGCTGATGCCGATGCCGATGCTGATGCTGCTGATGATGATGACGACGATGACAATGATGACGACAACGACGCATCTCCCGAGCGGGGTCCGCGCTGCCGGCCCGCCCAGGAGGTCAGCGAAGCGCTGGCGGGCGCGGGCGTGGCCGCCGACGACGCCGATGCGCTGTCGGAGCTGGCGAGGCTGGAGGACCATGCGGCCATCCGGCCCGCCTCCCTGAGCCCAGCCGATGCCTCCTTTCCGACCCCCTCTAGGAGGCCTCTCTTAAGTTTGTGCATGTCCCCCCTCGACCAGCCATACTCGGACATCGAATAGGGGGAGGCCCGCACTGACTGTTGGCTCCTCCGAGGGGGTTGCAGCCGGCGTCGTGTTCGTCGTCTTCGACCGTGTCCTCGGGCTCGTGTTGTCCTCTTTGTAGTCGTCGGCGGCGCCGTGCTCATCGTGTTCGGCCTTCTCCTCGACCTCACTTCGCCGTCCTCCTTCGACTCCTAATCCTTATCTTGCGCCATTCCTTGCAGGGCACCTGGGGACCGTGCCAAGCACAGCTCTTACTTTCTAGCCACAGGCGTCTATAGTCACATCGGATATCGCAACATATCTGGGGTGGATGCGTCTACAGACAAAGCGGCCGTTGTGTTCGTCTGAGTATAATCAGCAGGGAAAGCACGCAGACACAATGAACCGCAGACTCCCAGGAAAAGATAGGAAAATATTGGAAGTGGGGGGGAGGACAAAAACCTAGAACTTATAAGAAGCTATTGGGAATCTTGAGAGTTGTGTGTATTTACTGGTGTGCCCCTGGGCCCCTTCATATAAGGTCGGAGAACGGGTTGATCTATCTACGGTATGTTCCTGTTTTAGAGCAGGTCCACATGGCACTACAGCTCCTCCCGTTCGTTTTTGCGCCTGGGGCGCGCGCAGGTGGAGGAGTGGGGGGAGGAGCGGGAGGAAGGGGGAGAGAGAAGGAGGAGGAAGAGGGGAGGAGGGGTTGAGGGAGAGGAAGTGGGAGGAGAGAGAGGAAGTGGGAGGAGAGAGAGGAAGTGGGAGGAGAGAGAGGAAGGAGGAGGAGGGGAGGAGGGCGGGGCGAGGAAGGAGGGAAAAGGTGGAGGCGGACGATGCCAAGGAGGGAGGAGACGAATACGAACGACGAGACAAGGATGGAGTCGCGCGTGATTTTCGGAACACGGCATAATGAGGAGGGCGAGGAAGACGGGGAGGCCAGCGGGACGAGGTGAGGATGACGAGGACGATGATGGTGAGGAATGGAGAGGGTGTTGATGTGCAGGCGCATGAGCACCACGAGAAGGGGCAAGATGGAGGAGCTGGCGGCAGTCGTCCCAGCGCCGATCCAAGACATCCGCCCGAGCCCCCGAATGTTGCGCCTGGGCGATTTCTTCCCCCTCCAGGGACCAGTCCAGAGTCCAGGCCTTCCACATGGGGTCCGAGTAGAGGGGGTCGAGGGTCGCTGTGCATCGCCGATGCATCGGCGATGCGGCTCGATGTGGAGCTCGGTTGTCTCCGCGCCGAAGGCTCTGATGCACCGCCCTTGTCGCCGATGCATCGGCGATGTGACCGACACCATCCACTCGGGACCCTTCTTTGGGAGGCATCCGGCCAGGGGACCCCGCCCCACCCCACCCCCAAGCCTCCGCTGGCGCTGGGGCGGGGGGCCGATCTCTCTGGAGGACTCGGACATCGTGGGGGCCCTGGGGCCAAACTGTGGGTTTCCTTGTCTGCATGTTTGCAGAATCCTCAGGCAGTGAGGGGTCTGTCTGTCTTCCACCACCATAGGTTGGAGGGGGAGGGGGTCCTCCACCTCCTCATTCTCCTCCTCGTCCTCCTCCTCCTCCTCGTCCTCCATCGCCTTTACCCCTCCAACTTCTGGTGGTGGTGGTGGAAAACAGGCCCATCAGGCAGGGGCCGACCCCAACGGTGTTTTCTGGCGGTCTCGTGGGCCGGCTCCGTGGAGCGGCGCGCCCCAGCCTGGGCACGGCGGAGAGCGGAGCGGACCCGCCCTGCGCCGCGCGCCGCGCGTGCCCCTCCTCCCCCTCCTCCTCCTCTCCCTCCTCCCCTCCTCGTCCTCCTCCCCTTTCCTCCTCCTCCTCCTCCTCCTCCTCCTCCTCCTCCTCCTCCTCCTCCTCCTCCTCCCCCTCCTCCCCCTCCTCCTCCAGAGCTCTCCCCGAGCTCCGGCGAGTTGCGCGCATAGAGAGCAGCAGCGCCAGGAGCCACGCCTGGAGGCCCTCGGACACGCGCAGAGGGGGGTGGGGGGAGGGGGAGGGGCTTCTTAGAAGCACCTCTGCTTCTTAGAGGGCGCGGGCCTCATCTGTAGATGTGAGGCCGGCGCCTTCTAAGAAGCAGCCTCGTTCTAAGAAGCCCACCCCCCTCCCTCCACCCCCTTGTGCGCGCCGCCAAGCCCTAGACGTAGACCCCATCTCTGGGGGGCGCGCAAGGGGGAGGGCGGCTCATGGGGAAGGCAGCGAGGGCTGCAGAGAAGGAGCCCGTTTGGGGCTCTTGAAAAAAGGCCCAATAAGGTGCCTCGAGGGCCCGAAAAAAGGGCACCTTGCTCCCACCGCCCGCTTATCGCCCCCCCTATCACATCGCGCCCGACACCTTACTCCTCCTCCTCCTCCTCCTCCTCCTCCTCCTCCTCCTCCTCCTCCTCCTCCTCCCTCCTCCTCCTCCTCCTCCTCCTGACGAGGTCTTGCGAATCAGTGCCAGGAGCGACCTCCGAAGCGCAGCGCCACCCTGACCACGAGAGGAAGCGAGTCTCGGCCGAGCCCGAACCTGCCGTGTAAATCCATGCCAACAAACACCGTGCTTGCCTCCAGGGTGCCCTGGGGTTTCTCGGGTTTCGATGGTTTTGCTTTGGAAAGCGTGCCGTTCACACACGAAAGGTCAAAGGACGCACGTCCTGTGGTCTCAGGATAAGGTTTCCCGTTGAAGGTTCCTTGTGGTCGAGCTCCTGCTGTATCTGCCCCACTCCGATGGGGTCCATGGCTTTCGGTTGCTCCCGTCGTACTTAAGGACCATATCCCAAAAATAATTTCGAGCGACCAGAAGAGTGTCCGATTCGTGATAAAAAAAAAAAAAACAAAATGTTTCCGTAGTTTCGTGGTGCTCGGAATTCTCTCTGGGGATCAAGGAAGGGGAAATGGAGGGGAAAGAGGAGGATGAGGAAACAGAGTAGGAAAAGCAGAAGGAGGAAGAGGAAGAGGAGGAGGAGGAGGAGGAGGAGGAAGAGGAGGTGGAGGAGGGGAAGAAGGAGGAGGAGGAGGAGAAGGAGGAGAGGGAGGAGAGGGAGGAAGACGAGGAGGAGGAAGAAGAAGAACAACAACGAATCAGACTAATAGGCAGGCGAAGAGGAGGAGGAGGAGGAGGAGGAGGAGGAGGAGGAGCTGGAGGAGGAGCTCGAGGAGGAGGAGCTGGAGGAGGAGGAGGAGGAGGAGGAGGAGAAGCTGGAGGATGGAGGAGGAGGGCCAGCCGATCGAGCGGCCGGCCGCGGGCAGGAGGAGCACGCGGCCGCGGCGCTGTCGGCGCCCGCGGCGCCGCAGGCCCCCCCTCCCCCGAGCGCGCGCGGGCGGAGGGCGGCGAGGCTCGGCCACGCGCAGAGGGCGCGGCGTGGCGCCGGGCACGTCCCGCCGCAGGGAGGGTGCAGTCGAGACGCTGAAGTAAGGAACAGGAGGAGGAGGAGGGAGGAGGAGGAGGAGAGGAGGAGGAGGAGGAGGAGGAAGAGGAGGGAGGAGGAGGAGGGAAGGAGGGGAAGGAGGAGAACGAGGACGAGGAGGAGGAGGAGGGAGGAGGAGGAGGAGGAGGAGGAGGCGGAGGAGGAGGGAGGAGGAGGAGGAGGAGGAGGAGGAGGAGGTCCTTTGAGACCACAGTGCTCGATCCAAAGCGAGGGCCCAGCACAGGAGGGTTGGGGGTCGTCATGAGGACTCCTGGAGCTCCGCGCGGACCTCTCGGGAGCTGAAATAAGTAGCAGTTTGGGTTCGGTTCGGAGGGGGGAAAAGGTACCCCCTACCTCTACCCTCTCCTCGTTGTCCCCTTTTTGGGCCTCCTCGGGGGCCCTCGTCGCCACCGCTGGATCCGCGTCGAGATCCTGGTCAGAGCGCACCCCGGGAGAGGTCTGGGGAGTAGCGGTGTTGGCACCTTTTTGTCTCCCCATCGGAAGGGGCTCGATGTTCCTTAGGTTCCTCCAGTGCTGTTCCTCTTGCCCTCCTGGGGCACGGAGGCGCTTACGGGGCCAAGAAGGGGCTTCGTTCCTTATGTAGCGTTCCTCCTTTGAGCGGCCCGACTGTATTCCAAAGCAGGCCAACACTGGTGTGAAATCGGGCCTGTCCCTCCTACAGGAGGAACATCATTCAAAAATCGCCAAAAGTTGCCAACGAGGCGATTTTTTAATATGATTGATCATGCTTGAGCATTGTGGGTGTACTTTTGTTTAACCGTTCGTCCAAAATACGGCTGTAGGAGGACATGCCCGACCTAACATTAGTGTGAGCCTGATTTGTCTATTAGTTGTAAATGTTTTTGAATGTGTGTTGATTGTGTCTCATATTTCCTAAAGAGTTTGCCTGTAGAAGGACATGTTCGACACAAACTTGGCATCGCTCGGCTGTGTGCATGCACTCTTCGACTCACGTGTCCAGACGTCCAGACCCCCTCTTGCTGTGCCAAACATCACGACGGAAGGGTTTCCGGTATTTTCGGCCTTTGGGGACCCTTACCGGACTTCGGGAGCGTCAAGGAACGACTCGGGAGGAAGAACCGGTCCCGGGGAAGGGTTCGAGACCTCCGGGGGTCAACGTTGCAAAAAATCACGACGTCGGGGGTCACCCTTCGCCAGAGTGACCTTTGGTGCGGCCCCACTGGGGTTCCCCCGATCGCCGAACGCGATGCAGTAACAGCGTCCTGTGCGCTTGTACTCGATCCCCCGCCGGCTCCCACAGAGCTGCGCGCCAAAGGCCACTCTTACCCAGGGCCACCCTTGCGTGCAGTCGAACCCCCTCCCGGCGAGGACCGTCGAGGAGCGTTTTTGCTCACCTTGCGAACAACCCAATCACGCCCTGAACCGAAAAATGCGCAGGGAGTGGGCGTCCGAGCGATGGCGGGAGCGGGGGTGCAGGGCTCTCGGGGGCTGCCAAGGGTGCCACCGGCCCAGTGTGCCCCCAGCGTATCGCCCCAGTTCGGGGCCCCCTGGGGGTCCGGGCCTCTCAGATGGTGTCGGAGCAGATGAGGTCGGGAGATCGCACCGCATCGCCAATGCATCGGCGATGCCGCTCGATGCGGAGCCCGATTTTTTTCCATGCCGACGTCGCCGATGCATCGCCGACGTCACCGACGCATTGCATCCTCCGACCCCATCTACGCGGACGCCTCTATGAGGCCCTCAGGGCCTCGTGAGGGGCTCTGTGGAGGCCAGGAGGGCCTCCTTGGAAGTCCCGGGGGCCCCCCTGGCCAGGCGGGGCTGCGGGCGCGGGGGGCCCGGGGCTCGGGCGCGGGCGGACGCGAGATCGAGGTGGGGCTCGGGCTCGAGCTTGCTCTAGACAGTGGTCTGGGCCTGGCTTTGTGCCTGGGCTCGGGGGCTGCAGTATGATTGAGCAAGGTTGCCAAAGGCGTCTCAAGTTCAACGTACCGATTTTCATCATGAACGCAGACAGAGCTCTCAAGCAATGGTTACTCTACCAATTCGCTTGCCGTCTCTAGTCGTGGCCCGCTTGGAAGACACCGGTTGCGTGTGACCGTCCTTCCACGCAGCTCTGCGCGCAGCAGCATCTCCGCGACCAGGGCTGCAGTACATCCACATCCGCTGCGCACTGGTCAGAGGAGGGAAGGTACCAATACCGCTAAGCCTTCCCTCGTTTGCCCCTTTTTGGCGTCTTGGGAGGCCCTCGTCGCCACGGCCGGATTCGCCTCGACATTCTAGTCAGAGCGCACGCACCTGGGAGAGGCCTTAGAAGTAGCAGTATCGGGATTCCTTGTTTTCCCCAACTGGGATCCCAGGATATCGGTTCCCCCAGGCGGTGGAAATTCATATCCTTGTCTGGAGGGACGAATGCGCGGCGGTTTCTACTGCAGTGCGACAGGAGGCCAGAAATAGCCAGACCCCTGCCCAAGATCACCCCAATAAAGCCCGAAGACGGCCCCAGAGGCGCCAACAATGGCCGACGAGGGCCCCGAGACCTGCAACAAGGAGCCAAGACGGATTCGGGGCTGGTTGGGGCTCATTCTTTGGAGCTCAAGTTGGGTCCAGAGACGTCTACACATCGATCCGTGAGCGCGTCTAAAACGGTGTCGATGCGTCGATTGCGAAACGTGTCGCAGCCGAGTCCGAATGTCGGCTATAAGAGAGGTCTGCGCGTCGCCTGGGCTGCGTCGCTTCTACACGCAATCCGCGAGTCTCACACTGGGGGGCTGGTAGCGGCCTCAGAGATGATCGGTCAGTGGCTGGGGGACGCAGCGGGTGCCCCATGGAGAAACCATCACGCAAGAACACGAATCAATTATCATGTGTGGGATGGCCTCGCAAACCCTCTCCCGTTTCTTTCTTGGACGCTCTCTGTCTTCTCCTGGGTCTTGGAGTTCTTGTGTTGATTTCCGGGAGCCGTTGTTATCCTGGGGAGGGTTGAGGGGCCCGGACAACGATGACGCTTGGGCGGGGTGGGGCCCCGAGTACGGTAGGTTCGCGTCGTTTCGATTGCCTGCGACCCCGCCGCCGGCATTCAACGTTGCACGCCGACGGCAACCCGGAGTCGGTCGATGCTGCACGAGCTGACGCTCCGGCAACGCTCGATCGTTCAAGGTTGAACGATCCTCGCGGTGTCAAAATCCGACGCCGGGGTCGACACGGCACGAACTTGCCGCATGCGCGCGTGCACCAACATTCGGGTTGATCCACAAGGGGGTTCAGCGACAAGGGGGTGGTGCAATAGATTTGGGGCAATAGATTTGTGGAGTTGCGATACATTCCGGGGCATGCAATACATTCCCGGGGCGCAAATCTTTTGCTGGGTTCTGACGTGCCATACATTCCTTGCGATACAAAGCACGCTGATTCTCTGGCGCAATACGTTGGCAATACAATTGCCCCCAATCTATTGCACCACCCCCTTTCAGCTGGACCCCCTTTTTGGGTCACCCCGAACCGTGGGACAGGGTAAAGCCTCTGGACCCGACTGATTTCAACCTTGAACGGTCGGGGCCGCAATCGATTCAAGGTTGAACGATCGACGCGGCGTCAACGCCTCTGCGAACGCCGACGCCGCTCGAACCTACCGTACCGCCGCTCGCCCATTCATCGTCGATATGGGCATGACAGCCCACCCCGCCCAGGAAGGGGTTGTTCTGTTATCGATGGTCTATCGCCGATCTATTGGGGATGTATCGCCGATCTCAAGGCGACGTTTCCCCCCTTGAGCCAGTCCCCTCCCCTCCCGCTGGCAGGCATCGCCGATATGGGCTCCTTTTGGACCGCACAGGGAACATGCTGGGGGCGTCCGGGCGCCCCCTCCGGGGAGGCCGCCTCTGGCCGCCGAGAAGCCTGCGCCTGGACCGGCCGGCTCCAGAAAGGGGCCCAGCTCCCTTGCGTTTTTTTGTTGGCAGCTGCACGTGGCAGCTGTGTTTAGGTCGGGCCTGTCCCTCTACAGCAGGAGTGTTCAAAAATGGTCCAACAATAGTCTGGGGACGAGTTTCACCATTTTGGTGTCTTCTGGGGTATTTTTTTGCATGGTTCGTCCAAGGTCCGCCTGTCGGGTGACATGCCCGACCTAAGACTATGTGCCAGCGTGGACCCCGAGCAGTAAAGTGATTCTATCGCCTCGCTCATCCCGCCAGTCAATACTGTAGCGTGGTTTTGCGCTTGCCTGCGTGCTCGCGGGGGCGTCTGTTCTCAGTCTCATTGGGCCCTCGTGGGGGCATCTCTGGGGCTACTGCACCGTGTGTGGATGCGTAGAAAAGCGCTGTTCGAGCAACAACTTTAGTGACGCCGAGGGCGCGGGCACGGGCGCCAGCGTGTTCGGATGCAACTCGGGGGAGGTAAAATCTGATCTTGCCCTGGTCCGAAATTTGGCTTCATCCGGTTCAATCCCGCTTGATCCAGCTTACTCCCGTTGAGTCCGCGACCTGACCCGGCGTAGCAGCCCCCCAATGCGGCAATTTGTCTTATAACCCTTCCGACGAAGACCTCACATTATCGGGCCGAGCGAAAGGGGAGGATGGGGAAAGGGAGGGTTACGAAATCTGCTGCATGCAGCTGGTTTCAACCCCACCGAGGGGTTCCATTCCTCGATACATGGGTGCCTCCCGGCGCCGGGCGGCGCCAGGTAATCAGCTGCGTGAGCTGATTCTCTACCCTATCCTTTGCTATCCCCCCTTTCGTTCCCCCCGACCGTGGGCGGTCAGGAGTGCCCCGAGGGCGCCAGAGTTCAGTCGGGCCTGTCCCTCTACAGGGGGGATATCCAGGAATAGTAAAAAAACTTTGGAGACGATCCAGGAGAATCCACGAATACCCAGGAATTGTCTTTCGTTGCCCCCCGACGGCAGCTGCCTCCCCGAG